ATTCCAAAGGCACTGAATAATGTCTATTAATTTTCAGATTTGGTTTAGCTAATTTTAATTTATGTTCATAACCTATTGCACAACCTGTTTTGTTTGAGAAAAGTTTCTCATATTTATTCAATAATTGTCGGAAAACACTCTTTTCATTTTCGTTCAAATTCTTATTCAATAAAACTATGTTTTTTAATTTTTCATTAAGAGTCATACTATCGTTTTTACATAATATTTTATCTTTATCATTTTGATGGCAATCACTATTTATACATAATAAACTTTCTTCTGCTTGATTCATAAACATATTAATATTATACGTATTTATTTTTTCACTCGTTATAATTTCATTTATTTCATTATTTTTATTTTTATTTCGCGCTTCATTCTTATCTTCAAGCAGATAATTTGATTCATTTACATTATTAATTTGAAATTTTTCTTTATCTATTCGAACAATATGAATACACGTCACTTCATCTTTATTTGATAGTATGATTCTTTCTAAATCACATTTTTCAAATTTTATGATTTCAGATGGTATAATTTCATGTTTAATTCTAAGCTGTGTCTTCCAATAATCAATCACCAAACCAGCCCTTAAATTAAAATCATTTCCCAGAATAATATCAGTAGACAAAAAAGGCACAACTAGAAAATAATGTGCAATTTGAAAATTATGGATTTTTATGTGCAACAAAATTTGTTTTTTTATATTAGTTGATTTTTTTCCTATTGCTGTTGAGACAACTACATTTGAAACTGGAAGTTCTAATAATTCAAAGTCAATTTTTAATTTATTATAATAGTTTTCTGAAATAGCAGTAATTTGGCTCCCACTATCCACTAAACTCCAAACAGAGCTATTCAAAATATTAATCATAATGCGTGGTGAAGCAGGTATTCTTTTGTTTATGTTCTCAATTTGACCCTTATCATTAACTACTCCATATGATAAATCGTTTTCTAATTCGTGATATAGACGCATTGGCGGGTCAGAGTTCAATACGTCTATACTGAGTTTAAATTATTGTTTGAAACCTGATTATTATTATTATTATTCCCATTTTGATAGTTTGGCGGGGGATGTGATAGATCAGGCAAATTCATTGTAGCTTGATTCGAATTCAAACTCTGGCCGTGCAACCGACCATTAGAGTTTTGTAAACAATTACATTTATGATGATCCTCATACGGACCCTGAAAATGATTACGATCTCTATTTACGCGACCACGACCTCTACCATAACGACCACGATTTCTACTTTGATTAGCGTACATACTTTGTACTTTAAAATTTTGCCAATCTTGTTGTTGATTATTTTGATTGTTTTTATAGTTATTAAATTGATTTTTCCTTTCCATGAAAAGAGTGTCAAGAGTCGACAACGTGGCAACAATTGAATTCGAATCATCACAAGCAACTGAAGCTAAAGATTGTCGAGCCTGATAGGGCATTTGTAATACTATATTATGATTCATCTCAAAATCTGACATAGGTGGCATTAAAAACTTTGCTTGTTTTCTTTGTGCAAAAAAGTAAGACTGCAAATTTCCATCTCTCTCTTTGCTAAATTTTCTCGATAACCATTTACTTTTAATTTTTACTTGAATAGGAATAGTATAAAATTTTTTAATAAAAGCAACCTTGAACGACGGGTAATCCGAAAAGTCAGGTTGTAGTTCATACCAATCGCGCGCTTTACCGTGAAGAATAACACCTACAATATTTATTTTTCTATTTTCAAAAATTTGTTTGAAACGAAAATATCGTTCGAGTCCGTCCAAAAACTCAAGGGGATTTTGAGTATCCTCGTCAGAAAACTCAGGGATTTTAACATCAATATGATTTGTACCTGAATTTCCCAAAATCGCCAAAACGTCCGCAAGCACATCACCCCGTTCGTTGTTCGATCGTTGCGCATCTTGAGGTATAGACTGTGGCGGAGCGACAATGTTTTCAGATTGATTTTCATGCAGAACACGAGCAGCGTCCAGCTCTCGCTGTAGCTGATCTACCTGCTCGACCAGGCCGTTGGCTCTCTCGAACTCAACATTTACAAGCCGCTCTAAATGTGCCACTTCATCGCGATGCCTTTGCGCTTCCTCGCGCTGCCTCTGCTCCAAGCGTGGGTCATCGGGTACAACATTCATTGTTGACTTGTTCTTTCTCGTTCGTTTGGAAAACAAAATAGAATTAGGAAATATTTTCGTTGTCTTTCTTCCAGACCTTGTCACATAGTTCAAATCGTCAGCCATTCATTTTATTAAAATTACGTGAGTTACATAACCGTTGGGTGCCAATGTAAATTTATTTTATTTGATATAAATATATATAAAAGAGAAAATGATATAAAAGATAAATTAGTTAACTTAAAATAGTTAAGTCGGTAGAGCAAGACTCGGGCAATCAGATTGAACCAAATAACAAGAAATGAAGTTTATTAGAATTTAACTCAGAACTTATAAAACTATTTATTTAGTTAAAATCAATAAATGAAACATGCTCACACTCTCCCGGTGAGACCTGAGATGTATAGATTAAAATCAAAACATTTCCATATTTAACATTCAAACTACGGTTCGTCAACTCGGATACATAATAAAAGATTAGCTCACACTAAGATGCTCATGGTTCTTCGCTCGCAATGCTCGGTTCTTCTATGCCACACATCTCGTCACATGAATATTGAATATTTATAGCTGCCAAGTAATCTCAAAACTGAGAAGAAAAGCGAAACTTGGCTTGTCTCGTCACAATTCCCAATATAGGAGGTAATCACTAAACTGCACTAGCATATCTTGCAACACAAGCAGTGAAATTATCTTGATCCCAGAACGGATTCTGTCGCAGAAGATAGCCGTTGGAATGTCGTCAAATAGTTGTAAGTCAGAAGGTCCCGCCTTCTGTGGTGTTTCTCGCTGAGTGGCAACCGAGCAAAGGAGAGCGAGCAGCGTTAGAGAGGGGCTTATATAATAGAGCGCGTACATGGAACGACTCCCCACTTACTTACTTACACAAAATTTGAGTAATTCAAATTGATGCGTTACAAGGCGAAATAAAAAAAAAATGAACCGCTTCTCAGTTTACCTTTTAATTTTATTTTCTCTTTTCTCGAGCAACATCTGCACCTTTCTATTTTATATATTTCTCTTTTTTTGTTCTTTGATTATTTTGCCATTCCTCTACTCTTGCGGAACTATAATAAATGTAATTTGAGTGTTTCTTTGTGCGCTCCTCTTTCAGTTTTAGTTGTCTTCTATTCATGCATTTTTCAGTGGGCTTCGTACTCTATAAAATAAGGACGCGAGCAGATTGAAATATGGAGCTAAATAAAAATGTGGAAGGATTGAAAAAATAGCGAAGATGTGTTTTAGATAGTAACGCATATTGCTTTCATTTTATTCCGAACCATTTTTCTCGTGTTTTATGGATTGGAAAGATACGAGCAATACTAATATTCCTGGTGAACCATAGTTCGAATGTAGTTTATGTTATTCACACAATGCAATGGAATTCACATCTTTTTCCTTACATCCGGTCATAAAACATGGAGTGTCTTCTGTTTTAAAGATGGCATTAATTTATTTTTTGAAGAGTAGGTCGGTGATCTAGATATTATTTTCTTCGGTAGAAGACAAGATATTGAAAAGATCATTATTAGTAAGTGATTATCCAACGTCTACCTTCGATATAAAAAAAATTTCAATGCATTTAAATTTGAAAATACCGATAAGCAAAATCAAACTCACAAGTGTTTGTTCATGTCATCCCATTCGTCTCTGCGTGAATAAAGCAGGAGATTCTGCTCTATTTCGTTTGTTTTCTTTAAGAGCACTTTCCCAATTGTCCGGTGAAATACACCTGAATTGGCCCATCGAGATAGAAGAAATGGTCGGAGCAAGTGCAGTGTTCCTTGGGCCGAGCCAATGTAATCGATCCGATGTGTGTGTGTGTGTGTGTGTGTGTGTGTGTGTAACGTTGAAGAATAACGCGAGTACAACTCCCAGTGCTGAAACAATTATAGCACCATTCGTACGATGTTTTTGTCTTGCTGGAGTGATAGAGGAGCGTTAATTACGAGTTTTCGTTGACATGATAAAAATGTCTTCTGGATGGTTATCTGAAGCGGTATGTTGTTTAAGCTCCATTATTAACCGGTAATCGCTCTGTCAAAGCTAGAAAACTGACGAACAAAGGAAACAAATGCATATCCGGGGAGATGGAGTGGAGAATTTTTATCGCGTTGTGCGCGGAGTAGCTGCTATATAAGAGTAACGAGGAATTGTAAAACTTTAATGAGATTATTTTCTTTAGACCGCTTCACTTCGCAATTACGTCGTTTTCTCTCTCGCCAAATTCCGTTTATGCTCGCAACTGCTCCCTCGAGAATCTCGTTTCATCCCTCATCTCTCTCGCACCTTTTTCTCTTTTCTTTTCATTTTTTTTAATTTTACCTCGCCGGTTCGTCACCATCGTGCGCTTTAATAATTCTTAGTCCTGGCGCAAGTTCCGAAGAGGGTCAGTTCAAGACTTTAATGAGGCAGAGCGCATTGCTTGCTTCCAACGAAACTTTCGCGAGTTGGCCTCGCGCAATTTTTAATTTACGAACTTGGCGATATTGCTATGCTACCGCCTTTCCGCTTATTCGCGAGAGCCGCGGACCGGCTGTGCTTCGTGTCTTGCTTGTACAAGTCGCATCTTATTTTCAAGTAATTATCAATCGACGCGCAGACTTGGCTTATCCAACATTTATGACGAGGCGAAACTTAAACCGATAAATCAATATTTTTCTGTCAGCGTGTAGAAACAGTGAAATCAATGATGATCTCATTATTGAAGGATATTCAATGTATATGCTACGGTTCATTAGTTACTCACTCCTCAATCAAATATGCCGCTGTTAAAGACTGTACTTTCTACGCTGAGTAATCATTTGCAAAACATTCTTCTTCTCATCACTTTCGTCGTAAATACGACGTTTCTCACTGCTGCTGTTGCTTTATAGGTTCGTCTAGCCCATTTCGCGATTGACTGGTGGTGGTGGTTAACGGCTCAGATACACGCGAACCACGGATAAACGAGGAAGCTGATAAGTATATTGTGCCCAAGTTTTTGTTTGTAAGCGCTAGCAACATTTTTTACGAGTTCATAAAAATCGTTTATGCAACTTTTTTTTGTCGCTTCTGCTTTGCGAAAAACTTGTAATCTCGTGGAAGTAGCTCACATAATTTCTTTTTAATGGAAACGTTATTGCACGTAGTTTTTATCGATACCCATATTGGATACAAATTGGTTTACCAGCAACAATTGCCGATTCGTTTTCATTGCGAGTAGCGTAGATTGTTCGTGCACTTTTGTTATCTCGTTTGTATCATATTTTCTATTCGAGTATTTACTTTTTACATGATCACAAATCGTCCGGACATCGCGGTCGAGCCACATCTGATACGCGAGTCAATGCGCGATTTGGGAATTGATTATTGCCGAATTCCTTGGCTTATGTGTACTCGCGGCTACTCGGTATTCCGCGACACGATAGGATGAAGCTTACACCAGCGATTAATCACATTAATACCTGGTGCACACGAAAACGCAGTGTAGAAGAAATCAGCAGCGAAAATAAGATTTAAGGCAGGTAGCGTGTTCTACTGTATACTAGTTCGGGAGTGGGTACCATCCCGTATGTAATAAGTTTGTCAAAGCTGAATACCGATTATTCTTATGTATTTCGAGCCCTTGAAATCGAACCCGCAAGTCAATTTTTCGAAAAAAGCGTAGAACATTGTTTAAAATGCAATTGTTTAAACAATTTATCAAAAAATGGTTTATTCGTACTGTACAAGTTTTTTAAATCGGTATAGTGCATCTAATGTTTCACTAAGCCAATTTATAGAGTAAGTATCTAAGAATAAGTCGTTTTTTCTCAGTTTAAAAATTATTGATCAGGTCAAAAGTTATTAACACTCAAAGTTGGTATAAAACGTCAAATTTCGGGCATTTAAATATCTATAACTTTCAAAATATACATTTTACGAAAAAGTTGCACATCTTAATGATATTTTCGTCTTAAAATAAGTGATATTTTCTAAAAAAAATTTTCCCAGTATGAATAAACGAGTTTTTGGTAAAATGTTTAAATAATTGTATTTTATACAATGTTCTACGCGTTTGTTGAAAAATTGACTTGCGGATTCGTATTCGGGGGCTGAATATACATAAGAATAATCGATTTTCAACTTTGGCAAGTTTATTGCATAAGGGATGTTACCCAGCTCCCGGACTATACATGATGCCTTATACGCGCGAAATAAAAGCAGCGTGATTAATCTCAGGTGGCGCGGTCCATCTTTGTTTCATTCATTGCGCGCGAAGTTCTCCGGGTGAACAAGGGATTGCGTAGGAAGCGAAATGGGAAATCGGCCTGTAGTGCCGGCACGAGCTTGAAATTGGACCTCGAAGTACTACCGTGCGCGTAACCTTCCCCTAAGTGCATTGTTTCGTTTTATTCGTGAGGCCGTGCCATGAGTTTGTTTGCTGCGTACTCGCGGCTTCTATCCATTTTGATTAATTAGTCGCCACGTAGAACGCGATATTTAGGAAATTCTTTTGTTATACGATGTTGTTTTTAACGTAGAAAATATATATTAATATTTAACTATGTGTAACATAATGATAGATATGATTATTTCTTATCGTTTAAGTCTTAACGACAGAATGAAACAACTGATTCTCTAAAACTTTTCAATTTTCCAAAAATTATCCGTGAAAAACATAAACAAGAATACTTTTAAATAATCTAAACTTTTTAAATTCCTCGTAATTTGCGATAGAATCTCTTTCATCACGTAACTATAAAAACAATAAAGTATGCTTTGAAACAATCGATTAAATGATTTAACAATTCTAAGTGATTATCTGAAGATGAATATTATAAAAATAATATATAACTCTACACAATATTTGATTATTAACGTACAATTGCATTGATTCCCTGTAGAAAGTAAATTTTCCACATTTTTTGTATTTTTAGAAACTTCTAGAATTTTTATATAGAATCACACTTTGTAGAATTGATGGGTATTCACAAAATGGAGCTTGCCAACCATTGGAGTATTATTGTACAAAACGTAGACTTCTTCAACGATTTGAACTATAGAGAATAGCTGCTGTATACCGCCAATCAATTGGCGAAACGATGTTTACCAATACCAAACAATTTCCCACCAGTAATTCAACGATACTCGTAAGGCCGTCGACGTTCTACTTGCATATAAACTAATGGTGCTGCTGCTGAAGTTAAACAAAGAGTGAGAGAGAGAGAGAGAGACTTTGCGGTTACGATTGATGAGATCCGCGAAGGCTAATAAAGGCCGTTCAAGCGAGCGCATAAATTCGAGGGCCGAGCGATCAATTGGCCAACCTCTCTTTTCGCTCCCCCTCAGGTTCGTCTCTCTCTCTCTCTCTCTCTCTCTCTCTCTCTCTCTCTCTCTCTCTCTCTACGCGTTATAGCGTCGTTAATATTCTCTTGCCTCTTGTGGCTTTTTCCATCCAAAGATTCACTCGAATCGAGCGTGCGATGTATTACGACTTTACTTTTTGCGTTTTTTATTCGATGTCTTGCGTTATGGATTGGCTTAATTTTTTTGCCTTTTAAAGAGGCAATGATCAATTTTTATGTGACAGAGGCTTCTACATCAAGTAGTCGCCGCAGGGCAGCTACCTTTTATTGATATTTCATTCCACAAGGACGAGGTAAATAATGCGCGGGGGAGGCTGGAAAATTGGAATGGCGATTTTATTTTATGAGTGAATTGTATGATGAAGTATGTAAAAGCAAATAGCGTTTGAATATTCATGTGTTCTATTCGAAAATTTAGCTTTGAGATATTTCTTCATTTTCTGACGAAAAATGCACGTATGCCATTTATTTTAATGCAAACAGAAATTCTTTTGTCAGCCGTGGGCTTGAAACGTAACAGGGTTTTTGTGGCAGTGCATCTAATCTTTTAGTGAAACGTCTTTTGATGCGTTGTTGAGTTTTCTCTGTATCTGGTGAAGCTTGCGATTTTCAAGTAATTGCGTTGCTTATAGTTCACAAAGCACCTGATGTTCCATATCAGCAATCGTACCTTTGTGCATATTTAGAGCACCACGTTATTCGTTGGCCAAGTCACCATTTTCAACAGTATAATAAGAAGGTTCAATAAGTAGTTTACATTTTCGCCAGATCGAGGTTAATCACTGTTGAAGCTTTGAATACGGTGTTTTTATTGTTGCCTTTAGTCTAATATTCTTTTGGATGCGTCAATTCTCGTTATTGTAATCTTCTTGATTGAAATCATCACATTGCAAAAATCTATTTAACATTCAATATATCCATTCATAACGGTGTAGTACGCATTATAAAAAATAAAAATTATCGTCGACAAATAATTAATTGTTCATTCATCTATACGAAAAACTGAAGTAAACATTTTTGCATGCTGTGTATGTGTGTATGCTTGCAGTCCCGGTGACGCAGGTGACGTCGGTGGCGGGCTACAGTGCGAAACTGCCTTGTGAGATAACAGCTGGCGCACGTGGCGAAGAGGCATTCATGCTGTTCTGGTACAGATCGGAGAACGATGGTTCACCGATCTACAGCGTGGACGCTCGTAGCAGTCCACTGAATCGTGGCAGGCAGTGGTCCAATCCGAATGTACTTGCCGATCGTGCCACTGTTACGTTTGTCAATCGTCGGGCCGAGCTGCGCATCGACAAGCTCATGCCTGAGGATGCAGGGCTTTACAAGTGTAGACTTGATTATAGGAATAATCCAACGAGGAATCGACACGTCAATCTTACGGTCGTTGGTGAGTAGCCCATTTATTTTCTGTTTACAATAAATCCAAAGAATCAGTGCTCGAGAATAACGCAGTTTTCAACACTGCTCATCATATTATACATTTATGAAAAATTCATGGATGTATAGAGGTGATCGTTTAAGGCATTTAATTCATTATTAAAACATAACAATAAATACTAAAATATTAATTATACGTGATTATAAGAATTATAAAGGATAGCTTGTTATTATTATTAGTAGTATATTATTGAAATTATAAATTCTTTAAATAAGATCGATTCCTTCTGCCTGTGTACAATGCAACTGAGTTATGAACAGGTTCTGTTTTATTTAAAATCCATGTAATTCCAAGTAAAATGTCGAGTTCGATTATTAAGATATTCAAGTAACATTAAAAAATGTTACATTAAAAGAAGAAAAAGAAAAGTTTTTATTTACAGCGTCATTAACAATTTCTTTTTCCTTAGTTCCACCTCAATCTCCGGTGATTTATACTAGTGGACGTACCTTAGCACATAGTGTGCAACCTTTCAATGAAGACAGTGAGTTAGTCTTAATATGCGAGGTACAAGGCGGCTCACCACCACCGAAGGTAACATGGTACAGGGATGGTAAGCTCACCGACGACACTTACAAACGAGAATACGATGAAATCGCCGTTAATCGATTGGATGTGCATCGTGTCACTCGTGATCTTCTCAGTGCACAATATGTCTGCCAGGCGAGCAATACGGATCTCATCGAGCCTGTCAGTACTGACATTATGCTCAACGTTAATTGTGAGTTGATATTGTTACGTCGTTGAATTATTACAGTAATATTGGATATAATATGAATTCTACTTTTATATTAAGTAACATCGGTAATTGAATAATTGAAAGGCTAATTTGCTATAATCTTTGAACTAAATCTGTAGATTTTCTAAATATTCCATTGTTACCAGAAACCGTATCAATAAAATAGCTTCGATGTAAATTAAATTCTATTTCCATCAATACTATAAATTAAAAATCGTGACCTATTTTTTAAATTGATTTTCTTATTTTAGAATAATATTATTTTGATCTTTATATAGTATCAGTGCAATGTGTTGATGTTTATCCAATAAAGTGTAGGTCAATGTAAATAATCGTTTTCGTGTTTAATTTCCGTTTTCTGTATTAACAAGTTTTATGGTTTGTTATGAATTAGTGAAACCACTAGTAGTCAATATCACGAATAAAACTCCATACCTATCTGCTTTGGGGACTTACGAGATCGAGTGTGTGAGTTCGGGCTCGCGACCGCATGCAGTAATAACCTGGTGGAAGGGCACGCATCAAGTCAAACATATGGCGAGGACTGTAAATATTAATTTTTTTATCAATCGATAAGTACAACGTAAAAAGAATTTTTTTTACCATATAAATACGGCTATGTACAGTTTATTTGGAGTTTGAATATTGACCATAACGGCATGATCAGAATAATACTATAACTCAAAGAATTATTCTGCTGTGAGAACTGTAAATACCGATTTTTTAATCGATCTATAAATAAATACATTTAACTATTCAAACAAACTACTTGTGGATTAAGAATATTTCTTTTTTTGAAGTTACTTCAAATAATAGTTTATAATTAAACTATTAACAAATATGACTACATTTTTCAAAATTTCAAAAAAATAAAAATAAAACATAAGCTGGTTTAATTGTAATAAATTTAATATATATTGAAAAGCTTTGCTTTATAAGTTGAAAATGTTCAAATAAAAAGGAAAGACTGTTCTTCTTCAAAATTATTTTGTAAAATTCTATAACAAGCTTTCATGGTCATGGTGAACTCTGAGATATAATTAGTGTAAAGATCTTAAGTTGTTAAATGGAAATTTGTGAAATATGTTAGAAATAGACTAGAAAAACATTGAAACATTCTGAAAACTTACGTAGCCTGACATTGAGTGATAAGCTCGATAATAGAAACCACGGTTGTATTATCAGTTCGCAGAAGGTCAGAACATGACAAGGAGTATAATGAGCTATGTACCAACGATGGAGGATGACAATAAATTTCTCACTTGCAGAGCTGAGAATCCTGTAGTTCACGATAGTGCACTCGAGGACAGATGGCACTTGGTCATACATTGTGAGTTAAAAAATAATGATCTATCCTATAAATTATGCTTCGCAAGCTTTCCCTCAAACTTTATTACTTGTCAATCTGTCCGCGCTTTCAAATCCTGAACTTGTTAAAAGCATCAAAATTCACCTCACGAAACAAAAGCTCTTATGCGAAGACGACTTTTATCTCGTTATGAAGTAAATAATAGCTAGGTTCTCGCCATGATATAAAGCTCCTTATCCCAAACAATAGTAACATCGCAAGGGAGCTGTAGGCTTTAATCAGAAACTGGTTGTACAGACGCGCCGTTGGTGACGATAAAACTCGGCTCGACCCTGCGGGCAACAACGATAAACGAAGGTGACGACGTTTATTTCGAGTGCGAAGTCATATCAAACCCCAAAGCCTACAAGTTAGTTTGGTACAAGAACGGCCGCGAGATACACCACAATCCAATGGCCAATGTCAAGATCCCCGGTGGCAATTCGCTTGTACTTCAAAAAGTCACGCGCAATTCCAGTGGTGACTATGCATGTGCCGCTGCTAACGACGAAGGCAAAGCCATCAGCGCTCCTGTCGAGCTTGATGTACAGTGTGAGTACTTTGGCTCTCTCTCTCTACGTTGTAGTAATTAAGGACTCGAGCCATCCGTTCGTTCCCTCATGGCGGATTTAGCAATTAAGCCAAGTTTCGCGAAGCACCATGTCTTGCTTTTCTGAGTGTTTGGGTGTGTGTATGTGTTTCTCACTCGAGGTATCGCACAATGAGCATTGTTTTACTGCTTGATGCTCAAGTTAGTCCAAAACTTTGACAACATTGTCGGCATATATACGTTAGCAATTTAATTAATTAATTAGTTAATTAAATGCTCGGATAAGCTTTACTTTTCGCAGGTGACTTTTAAAAATAAACGCAAAATGGCAGATAAATGATGCTCGTTGAAATTTTTGACGCGCTATTACTTGCAGAGCTTTACGTGAATTGTTGAGAGTCTAAAAATTATGCGTCATTGGCAATATGACAGATGCGCCGGTGTGCAAAGACGGCACGACGACACAGGTGGTCGGAGCCCTGAAACACGAGACAATATCGCTGGTGTGCGGTGTGCAGGCGAAACCAGCGCCGACGAGTTTTCAGTGGACATTCAACAATTCGGGCGAGCTGATGAACATGCCGACGAGTAAGTTCGCTCAGGTGAAGCCCCAACATCTAGTCACCAGCCATTGGCATGGCTCGAGGCTCAACTATACTCCTGCAAGCGATATGGATTACGGGACCATCGCTTGTTATGCCATCAATTCCATTGGCACTCAGAAGGTGCCATGTTTCTTTCAAATTATCGTCGCTGGCAAACCGTATCCACTGCAGAATTGTTCAGCTGTACAGTCGACGGGATCTTATGCTTATCGTATGAGTGAGTCAAATACTTCTTTGTTGGATATATATATATATATATATATATATATATATATATATATATATATATATAAAATATGATACAGCCACATGATCGTTCGATGCAAGATGGTTTTATGTTTCTTGGCTTTTATGAGAACACCGGTACAGCTGCTTCATTGATAAATACTTGCATAAAATTATCTACAAAAATAAGAATATAGTGAATTGTGAATAGATAGTAAAGTTTAGCTTACTCAGTGAATCAGAATGCAACTTCATTATTGAGATACACGCGCTCCAAATGTTAATAAATTGGCTTATGAAAGTGGAAAAATAATTGTAAAATTTTGTTGAAATATCGATATGTTGCAGTCCACTGAAAAGACAAAAAATAGCGTGCATGATAAGATTTTTCATTTGAATCGTATTACACAAGAGCATCGTTTTGTCTGAACCTCGTGAAAAAAAACGCAAGCATGTATGAAGCTCATCCAAGTGCAGCAAGTATAATAATTAACTGTTCTTGCAAGTTACATTATATCCTTAGGAAGACTATAAATAATTTTATTCTTTATCTGTGAAGTAAGGGGGGGGGGGGGGTTAAAACGGTGTAGGATTCAGCCACGGAAGTTGTATTACTTCTCTTTTACTGTTCTTGAAATATAATACTTCGTCGGTTTTTTTGCCTGGCTCGTTTACCGTGTCGAGTGCCTTTGATCAACTATGCTTTATGTACGATAACAAGATAGTTTGCTTGTCTATTATCTCTGAAAACTATTGTTGAATATAAACTGAAGAGCAACGAAGTTTGTAAATATTAAATTGCTCGTTGAAGAGCAACGAGGTACGGATGAATACCGATTGAATTGAATATTCAAATTCAATAAAAACACTATGGTAAAAGAGTTCTTTTAGGTACTTTTAGCTATTAAATAGCGCGAATGAGAAAAATGCCGCAGGTTAAGAACAAATGGAATACTCTTGAGGAAATTCGGATTCACTAATCGACTGTGAAATAATTTTTTTCCTTTGTAATTATGAATATTATCGGTGCTTAAAACTTTTTGATCGCATGTAATATCTTTCTGTAGCTCCCGAACGTTGTGCATTTTGACAATGTCTATTATAGAGTTATGCTTTAAAGCTGTAAATTGAATAACGTTACAGGCCAAGAAGACTTCAAAACGACGGACGCCAGAGACGTCGACTGGTTAATAGTGCGTTGTAGCGAGGGTTTCGACGGCGGTTTACCGATCACAAGTTTCGAGTTGGAGGTTTACAGCGACGAAAACGTCTATCACGTGAACACGATCTACATCAACCACACGGACAAAGTATCGACAAACACGCTCGGACCAATGTTCGAGGTGCCAGGCTTGGAACCGGGCAGGAATTACAAAATGTTACTTTACGCTGTGAATGCTAAGGGCAGAAGTGACCCTGTCGTGCTCGAGCCAGTCACTCTCAAGGGGGTCGCTATGTACACAACCGGTGAGTTTCCTCTTTTTCTTAAAACAGTTCGAACAACAAAAATGTCGAAAAAGCAAATGACTTTCGATTCGAGTTGTTCGTTGGCCGAGAGGACATTCGCTTGTTCGAAGTAAAGTTAGAATTTTTATCAACTCCAGAGACTAATCTAAGCGCTAGAGCGGTTCAAAAGGAAACTAGTTGAAAATCTAATCGAGGCTTTCGCGAAACTTTGAAAACGGTTAAATTTAACACACTTAGTATGTCAGCTCGTTCAGTGCTTCGCAGATATTATAACAACTGCTCATAAAGATAAGCGATGAAAAATTGCGTTGGTCGCTTATTGTTCCCCCTTCTTTTTCGAGGTCCTTGCGAGCGAGAGTGTATACACCAGAGCCATATTTATTTAGTTTTCCTTTTTCTGTCTGTTTCTCTCTCTCTCTCTCTTTCTATTTTCATCTGCTCATTTAAAGATCCTCGTATGTAAAACGGACAATCTAACGCACCTCTTCCATGGTGTGTGTGTGCGTCGCTTAGCTCTGTTGCAATTTTCAATGAGGTACAATTTTTCGGCTAATAAGTTAGTAAAACTTTGCACCTCTCTCTCCACAAAATGTGCGCGTGACGAAGGTTCTCTTAGTGAATGCTCAACGAAATTTTCACTCATTACACGCGAGGCATTGAATAATAATGTAATCATTCTATATATACACGGCACGTACACATACACATACTCACAGGCAGGCACGCGGAATGATAAATATTCAGTTAGATGAGCTGCCACGCAGTGGCACTTTTTTTCAAGTTAAAATTTTCAAAAGATTCTTTGGACAACGGTGTTTAATATATCTCTTGGTGAATGTGCAATACTTTGTACATTACGTTTAGAATATTATTATTAGGCTTTTTTCTTTTTCGATTATTATTTTAATACCAAACAATACGATTGGTTACAAGATCCACACAGATATCCAGCGATAAAAAAATAAGAAGCAAAATCGTGAGGCTCTTGCAAGTATAAATGTAAAATTCAACATTTTTCATTACATCACACCGTGCGCCGTTTCCTCTCAGTGGATCAGGCGCGCTCTATCTCCTCTCTCTCTCTCACACACACATACACACACAAAAGAAATGCGATTAAACTCACTGCTCAACGTTCTTTCATCTCTTTCTCTGTCTCTTTTTCCTCCGGGATGACGTATTTTCGAGCGTCTAGCTTTAAAAAAAGGCTCTACTCTAGCGAGCTCGCTTTGGCCTGAATTAAAATCCCATAAAACAGAGTCCCTTTTCCACGCTTGCGCGACTGTCTCATTCGGGGCACATTTATCGTCTTTAATTTCCATGCTCATGGGTTATTCATGTTTTACCTTCTCTCTCCCTTACTCTCGCCTCGGCGAGCGCGCTAGGTCAAATTGGTAGGTTCGCTGCGTTTGCAAACAGGCCTCGCTTGCATTCTCATGGGGCAGTGGAGAGAAGGACGACGACGACGCGAGTTTAGGGGCACGCAGTGACCTAATGGACAGCGTGACTGACAGGCTGCTGCTGCAACTGGAGAGCTTCGCGTTAATTTTCGCGGCGCGATTTCGTTCGATTTGCAGTAACAGATAATTGCACCCGTTGTGATCGAACGATTATTCGTGTATTATATGCGTGTACATTTTGATATCATCGTGCGCGCTTGACTTAGTCGATTGATGGATTATGATGTTTAATTGTGATGTACATCAAGGACTAAGGGTAGTTCGCGTTCTAATTTAGCTTCAGTAATATCATAGAATCGAATACACAATTTTAAAAAATTCCAATATACTAAACTATAAAATAACATTAATTAAACATTAACTATACAATAGTGGAATTATATAGATTTCATACTGATGATAAAAATTTCTTCATAAAAACTTAGTAGAATGTACAGTTTCATGTAAAAATATAATAAACCACATAATCATTGAAGATTTTAATATTAACATAAAACATTAGATGATGAAACACATAATTTTATACATAACAAAAAATAAATACTGCAAAGTTCAATCCAACAGCAAAGATGCAATGCTTATTAATTTTTATAATCTCATTTAGAATCTTGCAAACCAAAATGAGTCGAATGAGTGACAATGATTCATTTCACTGTCGAAATTTTTGGATTGACCTCGTAAGACTGAATAATTGTTGTTATTTATGACTAAAAGACGAGCTATCATGGTGTAATTTTTATATAATTACTTGAAAGGATTATTAAACCGTCTGAAAACAATTCACATTGAAAAAGTTGATATACAGAAATTTAAATTATACGAAACATTAACAGATCATTATACTTTGATTGCTGCATTTGATACAAATTTGACAAAAAAAATATTACAACAATAACAGGAAAAACTTTTTGTTGATTTAATAAAATTAAAAAATACTATCCAGTAAACAAAATTAGAATGATATACGTATTTAAAGAGAATCCAAAATTGGTCTGTGACTCATTAATATATAGAATACAACAATGAATTAAACAATTAACCAAAAATTTAACAAGGCAAAAATTAAGAAATAGTAATTTTAGGAACAAATGAATATCAGTAGGAATCATGATATTTTGTAAGACCAAACAAATGTAAAATCTGAAAAACGATTTTTACACCACAATAAAGAAAACTCCAACAGTAAAATGTACCATAGCCACACATTTTTACCTCGAAGGAAATGCCATTGAAATATTTATTTCTATGGTCAATAAATTATTGTTATTATTAAAAATTATTACTATCATTATTAAATCTAAGAAAAAGAAGTGCATATTTTTATTATTTTTGGGTAATTTTCGCGATTACTATTTTATTTAGTAGTAAAACATAGCTTAGGTCAGCCAAAATCTATCAAAGTTTGCGAATATTTAAAATTGAAGCTTCGCAAACTATTAAGATATGTATTCGTTTTTGAAATCAAGCATAAAATGAATAAAAGCTTTTGCAGTAGTAAAATTCGTATTAGGTCAGAAAACCTACATTAAATAAATTGTTAATTTTTAATAAGTTTAGCAATAGAAAAAAACGCGGGCCAACACATTTTCACACCCACAGACCGGACCTGATGTCCCCGAAGGAATTTCATGCGCAGAATCCGAATCCAAACTCAGAATTACTTCATCACCCTTAGTTTTTGAGATATCCTAACCTAAAAGCGTCAAAAACACATTTTTTGCTATTTCTCAACCCCTGTAACTTTGTGAATAAATATTTTTCTTCAAATTTGATGACGGTATTTTGAAAAGCAACTTTTATTTCTGAAAATGCACTCCTCATTATTTCAATATCATTTTTTTAGACAGAGATATGATAGAATGAAGTATGATAAATTGGAATTTTCATGTTTGCTAAAAAATAAAATAATATCCCAAGTTAACCTTAACCAAAGAATCCTGTACCCTGCTAAGCAATAACCTCAGCCTGCTACATCTCTGTATCCTGCTAGGCTTACCTTTGTTGTTTTTTAGCGAAACTTTTCTTTGCAGAAACGATATTTGCGAAAATGCAAATTTATTATACTTCAATGTGTCACATCTCTGTCAAAAAAAGTGGTATGTACTTTTTTCAAATTTTGTCGGCTTGTGTAATCTAAGGAATCAAATAAAACCAAGGAAAAATATAGAAAGCTATAGGCGAGAAGGAAAAGTAAGGAAGCGTTGAAGACAGAAAGAGATAACCATCTTTTTCGATTCATCTGTGCTCGCGCGAGCTTATACATCGCAAGACGGGCTGTCCAGTTGACTAACAAACTCTAGCTTCTACGCCGTTTGAATATTAAAATAGTACGTAGCCACTACTTTCTCTTTCTCTCTCACTCACTCTCTTTCTTTCGACGACAAGCACAGCGTCATTTCTTTTAGGACTCAAGCGCTGTATTTCACTTTTCACACTTTCATCTTGTTATTCGAATTTGCCTTCATATTTACGTGTATCGGATCAACCTGCTGCTACAGCAGGAGATGCGATGGTCAGTCATCTGGTGTATTATTTAGTCTTGAGAAAAAGTTTGAAAGAGTAAATACGTGTCTACTATTTGGTTATTGAATTTCTTGTTTTGGACTACCATCTCTCTGTTTGTTTTTGCCGCGACAGCAAGGGTGCAGGCTCTGGAAATAATAAACGGTCAGTTAGTGCAATTTCTACACGCGCAGTACTCTTGTACGAAGATACGCGAATGCAATGAATGAAGCTCGGCGAATAGCATATATGATAAGTCTATTTTTATCATCTTTGGCTGATTTATTTTTTAAATTCGAATAAAATATTAAAGATTTTAACTATTGATTAAAATGTTGTCTCCACATCAATTTCAAGAATATTTTGTCGATCTTGCCTGAGACTTATATTCGATTTCATCGGTAAGTCACGCGGATATGGTATTTGACTTTGCAAAAATATTATAACTGAAGGATCGCACGCAAAGGACAGTAATAGCATGTCCTGGGGAGCATATTCCAGCCCCAAGAGAGAGTAGGATAAAGCGCCTATCAAAACATAATCTGAATCTATGGCACTTGAAATAATGGCCTACGGGGCTTGTGTTTGGATGGTGCGCGCATTGGTGACACACCACGGTATTCGCAGGTCTAGACTCGAGCAACTACGCGACCGACTACAGCCTCCTGGTGGCGTGCTTCGCCGGTGGCATTACTGCCATCTGCATACTCGTGGTGGGTGTGACGTTGACGCTTCATCGGCGCAATCAACCACTGCAATCCACCAAGACGCAGACGCGCGTCGTTCACTACACCGCGGCTGTTGGTGCTGCCTCCGGCAACGACACTCTAGACGCAACGGCTGTTCATGACGATCGACTCAGAGCAGCTAGTCTGCAGCAACAATTGCAAATTGGTCAGCACAAGGTGAGTTAAGATGGTTTCGCGTTATTTTACCTTTATGACGAGGAATAACTGTGAAGCAAGCTGTTCTTTGCATTTCTTACATTAGCTGTATTTGGATGCATGATAGCGTCGCACTTTGTTACATCGTCATCAGTCATATTTATATTTATGCATACGCTTTGGTCTTTATTTTTATTCAGTGATCCATATGCCTATATATACTGACACTCGACAACGGGATATGTTTCGAAGCCACTTTTTTGTGCAAACAACGCGATGTCACCTTGGGATAATACAAAATTTTTCGCCGCGAAAGTTTTTATCAATAACAGGCTCGCACACGTGCAGACATGGCGAGAGAAAAAAAACTGAAATTCATTCTTTCGTTGTTGTTGTTTGCCCTACAACAGATACGCCAGGAATACGAGTTGCAGCAACAGCCGTGTCGCATGGATATCAGTAGCGGCCGTCAATTCGAGATGTTTGCACAAACGTCGACCTCGTCGTCGATAACCGCTGGACTGGCGTCGAGCATGATGCCCGAGGAGAATCCCGACGTGATAGCCTCGAGAACGAGTGCGAGGCAAAATGGCTTTTTACCCGGTTGCCAGCTGCTCGTTGAGGGTTGCAGTGGTAGTCCTGGTGTTAGACCAAGTACTTTACCTGTGCACGGCACTCATGACGTCTACACGAAGAGCCTGAGGCTTCAGGAGAGTTGTATATAACGTGCAGTGGACTGAGCTCCTTCAGTGCCAGTGATATTCATTTTCGCACTCTGATTGAAATACCCTTTTCTTGTTTCTTCTCTGTTCTATGCGTGTGGAACAACAACAACAACAAAACATTTGGTGTTTGTACATATGGACAATAAAGATAATGTCGTTGTTAATCTTGTCATTGCTAATCATTTTAGATGTGCGTCATTACTTTTTCTTCATTCTACTAATGTAAAGAGGAAAATCCACGCGAATTATAAAAACTTAAAAGTTACATTTTTTTGCTTGAGGAAGTAACTTTATTGGTAAGTCAACTAGGAGCTCGTTAAAAAATGTTCGGGAAACGAGGGATAATGGTTTTGAAACTTTCCGTTCATTTAAAGTTCTCGTTAGTTTTTTCTTCATCGAGTTTCAAAACTGAAGACGACATCGCTGATATTCCAACATAATTTTCAGGTACGTATATCAAGTACCTTGGGCAAGCTCCGAATAATTACACGCGAATTAAAAATTCTACTCTTCCATAACAGTGCATTTGCAAAGAGAGTTAAAATTTATCCTAACATTCATCATTTACATCGTTCGAATTAATTTCGAGTAATGTAATTGCGAGATTCTGACAGATTTTACAAATAATTTTCATGGATAAATCAAACACACCTGAAAATTTATCGCCTATCACGTTGCGCCGCTTTAATGGTTCAACATAAATCATGGAGCAGGCACGCCACGCGCTTAACCAATTAGCGTTCGCATAATCAATTATGCAAACAAAAATCAGTTTATACAACAAAACGTCAAATCAATGTCTCGTCCAATTATAATTCTCGCATAAAGCTTTAACGTGGACCAGCAACGTGCGTGTAACTCACTCTGCCGTTTGATAATCCGCCAATAGAATAATCGATCATTAAATAATCCATCCGTTAACGCATTACTTGATTATTTGTCGATCGCAATTGTTTACGCATCTGATGATGCAAAATTATTCTGTTTGCCTCTACGCTTTTGAAATAGCGAGAGAGGAAAGTTTGGCTTATCCAGAGGAATTATCATAACTAACTATCACTCGATTGTCAGCGATTGTCGAGCTCGAAAATTGCGAAAATCAATACAAGAGCCATCGAGATACACGAATGAATAATACTTTGAGCGAGAATAATCGATCACACACAGTTGGCTGCTTTCAAAGCTGACGTGAAAGCAATGGAAAGAGCGCGTTTCCTTCGCGAAGACAAACTCTCCAGAAAAAATAAAAGAGGTCGTGAGATATTAAGAAAAATGGCGCAGCCCGAGCGGGAGAATCGAAAGATTGATCAGCGTTAAAGCTAACGAGTTTCAGTTGCACATATCCAATATCCACGACTGTTGATATCATAGCGACGAAAAAGAACGCACGTGCGGGCTTTTTTCCGCGATAACGACTCGCCAATAACGATAAATCAGAGCTTTAAGGCGATGTATAGCTTGCGATCGATTTTTTTCGAATTGCGCGCACCTGTGAAATAAATTGCTAGCAATCTGCGCGTGTTCCTATCGAGTCAGACAGGGAGGGAGAGAAGAAGAAAGAGAGGCTACGATCTGTCAATAGATACATGTAGCGCGTCGGATAAACTGTTCCCTTGAAAATAAACTCTCGCAAAGCTGCTAAACCCTCGTGTCTCATCTTACACGTGCTGCTGCAGTCTTATAGCATTTTAGTTAACTTATGATCAATCCAATAGTCTCGAGTTATATTCAATTTTCTAGTGCCAGTGAGTTTTCATGCGAGCCATTTGAAAATAAACGATTTAGCACTACTCACGAGTTTAACATTTCAATATCGACATAGCAGCGGCTCCTCGTAATTATGAAAACTATTCAACGATTCACACGATTTATTCTACGAACAATATTTAGAAAGACGAGTGTTTTACAAGCATACTTGTACGCCAACTTCTTTTGCAATAAATCTCTTTAATCTAATTTTCAATCGCTGCTGTCAATTAATTGTCCTAGTGTGAATTCAATTATGAATATGCGTGTTTTAATTTTCGCACACCATTCGTAAAGCACTTTTGTACATATACAGTAAATAATTATTAAGCATAAATTAGTTAACACGTTACTTATTTTTTATTAATAAGAACTGAAATAATTAACAAGTTGTTGATGAATTTTGATCGACAATTTTTTTGTTCGCATTTACTTGGTCTTGCGAAATTATGTAACGAATTGAAATTAGTTGATAAGTTATATTGGAAAAGAAACCAAAAATTAAAAGCCTATTAAGTGGATTGGGAATAATAAATGATTTTATACGATTAATCTGTCTTCAGTTGTCCCATTATTGTGATGGTCCGAAACATTTTATTAAAAGATATTATAAAATCTATTTGCAGTTAGAATGATTTTGTTGAATTAATAGTCGCTCAATAGTTTGCTTAAACGACCAATTTACTGGTTTCTTGTCTCTATCGTATATTCTAATGTCTTTGACAAAAGTTGGTTTGAGAAAGTTATGGGCGGTTTCAGCCACTCAAAGGATGCGCTTTAACAAAAGAAATTCGTTCCGTCGGGAGAAAATTAGAATTGAAGTGTCTTTTTTTTCATTTTCAACTACAAGTACACACAGCTTTTTTCAGCACGCGGACCAACAGCAGCAAACATTGCTCTTTCAAGGCAAAGCGTTATTATCTAGAAGATGTATTCCTTGCCGACCGAAAATTGACGAAGCAGCTATGTAACTCGATTTCTAAGTTCTCAGATTACTTTGGCTGTGAGATATTGCTGCGTTATATATGTATATGTACGTCACTCACCTTTGATCTTCTGCGATTCTTTGATGTCGGACGCAAAGCTGCACTGTCTCAAGATGCTCTAGAGAGGATATCAGATGCAGAGAGATCATTACTATCAGTATGAATAACGAACGGGATTGAAAAGTTGAAAGGACATTTGTCTTTTCAATTGTTTTTCACCGCTATTGCTGTCGCTTGCTTGCCCGACACACTCCTTGCGGAAAGTGAAAATTGCAAGGGAATGTAAAAGTTTACAGGTCACGCCAGGCTATGGCAGGCGACTACATTAGCATTTTGAGGACTAACCTCCCCCCCTTTCTCTCTCTCTTTCTCTCTCTCTCTCTCTCGTGGGAACTGGCAAAGAACATTTGCAAAGTCCATTTTCTACAAGTGGCACAAGGCGTCAAGCGGTGCCTTTTTTCCGTCTTGTTTTACAATTTTTACTTTTCGTTAACACTTCAATGTTCACTTCGCTGATAATCGAAACTGAATGGCATTGTTTCAAGTCAGATATAATCATGACACTTTCCAATCCAGCATCAGCATATTTTTATTCAATGTTCCATTCAGCCGTGTGATATTTGGTTTTGTCGCAAGAAATTCCACATATTTTGAACATCAACATCGCATCTGTTTGATCGTATTACGGGACGCGTGCAGCGTATCGCGTCAGAGCTTGAAGAGGCTTTTATGCATGTATTTTGGCGTTGAATATATATGGATTTTTATAGTCGGCAGGCGCACGTCGCAGCCTTTTTGCAGGGTTAAAAGTCAAAAACGATTACGCACCACATTTCCTCGCGCACGATGTTACGTATACGGAAAATTGCAAGTTTAATCATGAAAATCGCTCTGCTCAAATTTTCAATTTAAATGAAAGTTGAAAACACGATATATATGCAAAAGAACGTCACTATATCTTGAAATACCTATACCTCATTTTTCATTTCAGCGATTCGATCCGTTGCAGCACACTTTCAGACTGACGTAGTTTGGTAGTTGCACCGATAGCTAAATCCGAGAAATTGTGGATTAACGCGCTACACGACGATTCAATGCCGACGTATAGCCCCTCATTAATAATCAGTCGTCGCTGGAGCATTACGTACATATCATGCGATCTGCATCGGTCATTTAGATTGACAATCGGATAGCCAATGACCATTCGAGAGGAAGAGACAGCTAACATACAGAGTGAAAGCGGCTTAACGTACTGTAAACTGTAATACGTAACTGCCTGATGTAATCGGTTCGTTTTTTTTTATCCCGGGAGGACGTATTCCAAGGCTTGTATGATGAGTTACTACTCTCCGTTCAGCTATGCGTGCGCGCACTTCTATGATATAACCACGATTTGCATGAGCTTTTATCCCTTTCTATTAATAGTGTCTTTTCCCTCACGTTATCGCAGTTGTCGTCGTCGAGTCGAAGGCTGCTTGGAAAAATTAGATTAACTCGAATCGTTCTCTTACAGTTTCTTATCGTTACATCGAGAAACTTGTCGGAAGAGGTGTTGCATTTGTCCTTACACTTTCGTTTATGTCATCAATATACCAAGGGACTTGTTCGCGACTCATTGGGTGTTGCTGGCACTTTGACGTCTTAATTAATTTACTATTTAGAGAAGTGGCCGTTCGTTGATCATCTAGAATACTCCGCGGTGGAGCACTTATCTTTTGTCCTAGTTTCAAGTCTGGCCGAGGGGAAAAGCTAGGGGAGATAAGAGTTCTCAAGCCGTTGTCGTCGCCGATAGCGAAGCTCAGACGTGGCTCTCGGGAGAGACGTCTTACTAATAAAACAGCCAGAGCGACAGTGCCTTCGTCAAGCCCGCACTGAGCGTCGAAGGCGCCGCAGAAAAGGGGAAGCAAGAAAGATACGCGGAGGGGATACCTAGAGATGGCACCGCCAGCTGAGTCAGGGATTGCGCGCAAGAGTAGTCATGTCCTACTCTGTTCCCATCATGCTCGTCTGATACCCACTTATAGCAAGTCCTATGCGACGGTCTCACAAGTTTAATAACGCCAGATTATTATATTTTTACTTTTAATTTTTATTACAACGGGCGCGTTAAACAATCAAACGTGTTTATTATTCAATTCCTTATTACAGAGCTACATAGGGATTATAGTTCAGTAAAATGGTGTTTCATATTGGATTACTGATGTAATGTTTAGTTCGATGATGAAAAAACTACTCTTTACGGGACTTTGCTCATCGATTACTGCGGTTGTAGAATAATTGCATTAATGCGTAACCCAAATCGCAAAAACGTTATTTACATTTACTTGATTTAAAATAAGGTCGATCAAGAGTGAAATTTGGTAAAAACAAACTTTAGCAAAGAAGCGATTTTCCATTCGGTTTATTGGACTTGAAA